TTTTTATGTGTATATTACTATATAGTTAAATGTTTAATATAATCATATTGTCAATAGTTACTTTATAGCTTCTGGGTTTGAATATTTTGCTTCAGGTCATGAAAAACATTAGTTCTATTTTCTCCTAAAACTCCTTAGGTTTTACATATTGATTTTTAACTCACCTGAATATTTCTTGTATAATGTGTGAAATAGGGCTCTATAATGTGTCAAATAAAGGTCCATGCACATTATTTGTTGCATTAGCCTTATTTTACCCAGTGATTTGAAATATCAACTTAATCATATATTGTTAGACAGATATATATGTTTGTCTGTAGAACACTCATTACACTTCATTGATCTACTTGATTATTTCTGTGCTGGTGTCATGTTGGTTTAATTGCTGAGACTTTATAATGGTTTTAAATTTTTTAAACATTTTATAATTCACTTTGACATTTTAAAAAATAAATAAAATCAATCTGCATTTAAGAAAGAAAGAGAGAGATGGAACTACCTTTTGTGACAACATGGATGGAACTGGAGAATATTAAGTTAAGTGAAATAAGCCAGTTGATGAAAGACAAATACCATATGATCTCACCTATAAGTGGACTCTAGTCAACAAAATAAACTAACAAACAAAATAAACCACAGGCATGGAAACATGGAACAGATTGAAAGTGACCAGAGGGGATGGGAAAAGAGGACAATGGTGGAAAGAAGGAGAAGGGACTGGACAAAGAACATGTATGAATGACCCATGGGCATGGACAACAGAGTGGGAATCGACTGTGGGAGTGGGGGGTGGGGGTGGAATGGGTATAGGGGGGTAAAGTGGTAAAAATTGAGGCAACTGTAATAGAATAAACATGATTTATAAATTTAAATAAATAAAAAAGAAGCAACCACACATTGATGTTTTCCTCTCTTCTCCCCCATGTCCCCTCTCTAAAAATAAATAAATAAAATCTTTAAAAAATATAATATTAAAATAAAAACATGGTGCATTTACACAATGGAATACTACGCAGCAGAAAGACAGAAGGAGCTCCTACCCTTCTTGACAACATAGATGGACAGCAGTAGGCATGAGACAAGAGTCCTGTGGCTGTTGGCAGCTGCACTCACACCAGTGACTGTCCCTCTGCAGGTAAAAGATCTGATTTCCTCATCACATAGTCCTGCACACTGTGCATGAGTGTACATGTAAGGCAGAACTAAGGTCAAGATTTAGATGAGTGTCTACTGACAGGCACTAGAGCAGCAGCACAGCCAGAGAGGAAGATAAAGGAAGGAAGACAGAGACTGACCTGGTGCTGAGGTCGCTGCCCTAGCTGGCCATCGTCCTGCCCTGGGCCCGGCCTCGGCCTCTGAGCCTTGAGAGCAGACTGCTTCTGCTCCGTACCGTGTGGCTGTCCAACTTTGAGCAGGAAGTCTATGAGTCTGTCAGCCAGACTGGGCTCTACCCAAAGGCATAAATAAAAGTGAAAGTCACTTTCCTAGCGTTGTTTCTACCCTTCTGCAGGTCACAGTGGCTCTCAGACTTCAGACTGGCCACAGCAGGAATGGAGTTCAAGAAGGGACAGTCAGGACCTGGAGGGCCAGGGGAGGAGGACCCCCAGCAATGAGCAATTTTTGCCCCCAGGAGTCCCCTTGTTTGTGCAAAGCCACCACAAACCTCTGTGAACTGCCCTCTCCTCAGCTGCCCAACTTTCTGAGAGGCGCAGAGGAGCAGGGTTAGGTCTCCGAGTTTAGACGCAGGACCGGAGAAGCACCATCCTCCAAGCGATGGGTTCCACGTTTGTTCCCCGAGTCCGACTTCCCCCGGCGGGGACGAAGGGTTCTGGCCCGATTACATGTCAGATGCAGGGGAGGTTCCGTCCTCTCTCCAGGCATGGTCTTTCTTTCCCCAAAGGAGCAAACGTCAGTCTGGACAGATTCCATACACTGATGGGGACGTTTTTTCCTCAGTGTGCAAGGTGTCAGTGTGTCCCAGATGCTGCGCACACAGGCTGGGTTGGGGTGGGGGCATCTCCCTCTGAATCCCCTGACTCCTCCCTCATTGTGGGTAAAAATTAGTAAGCGGAGCCTCTGCTGGACACAGCCATCCTCTGCTCCTGGTCTCCATGGTTCACGGGGCCCAGACAGGGTCTGACACAGAGGACACCAGCCTTTTCCAGCGTCCATCCTCTCTCTCTCCTCTGTCCCAGAGCAGCAGGCAGACTAGGCCCCCACTGTGCTGGGTGTTGGCATAAATGCTCCAGCTTTTGCCAGAATCTGCTTACATTCACCATGTGAACGAGAGGCAGATAGCAGTCGGCCGGGTGGGAAATCCACAGGGGCCGGCCTTCCAGGTCGACAGTCTTGTACTGGGGTTGCCCTGGCCAAAGGGAATAAGATGCTCTTGCGGGGCCAAAGACAGCTGGACATGCACCCCACTCTGTAAACAGCAGTGGTTTTTGTGGGATCAGGGGACCTCTGTGCAGAGAGTAAAGACTTTTGATCCAGAAAATAAGATCAAACCCGCTGAGGTTAGGACCCGGACAAGACCATCTTCAGAAGCAGGTGGACCCCCTAGCAATCCTGCTGGGCTGGTGTGAAGGGAAGAAGGCAGTGCCTGGGGCATTTTCCATGTGGACAAGGGGCACTGACAACAGGGACCATTTCTGTTTTCAGGGAAGTCGCCCGAGCTACGGGGTCTGGAAAACAGGAGAGGCAGAGAAGTAGGAAGGTCATGGGGCAGAGGATGCAGAGAGGGAAAATCTTTCCTTCGCTTCACCAGGAGCAGCTTTCAATCAGACATCAGTAGTGGGTCAAGTCTCTAGCCTGGGAGACATTGTGAGGACAGAGATTATGTCCCTGAGATGAGGCAGAGAGTCCTGACCTGAGAATTCATGAGCAGGAGGAAGTGACTGCAGCAGCAACAACAGCCACTGGGCTGAGGATGAATAGCTGCAGCACCTCTGTGGAAGAATGGAGGGGGGGCACCTGGACCTAAGTGGGAACACTCAACATCTGCTTCTCGGAGGTGGTCCATCAACCAGGGGGACCCCTGGTCCCCCACCCACCCTTCTTTCTGGAGAGACACTCAGGCTGGGGGTTCTGTGAAAGGTGAGTCTGCTCCTGGTGGGTCTCCCTGAGATCATCCTGCTGGAGAAGCCAAGGTTCTGCACTCCTCCAAGTTCAAGTGCATATGGACAGCAGCCGCGGGGGGTCGGGGGGACAGGCTGCAGGTATGTGTGGTTGGAGCAGCCTGAAGCCATGTGTAAATCCAATTCTGGGGTTTGATTTAGGGATCATTTTTGACACACATCTAAGCCGCGTCCCTTGATCCTGTGTTTAGCAGCAAGGAAACTGGTACTTTGAGCTTCATCTGTCTCACCTTCTACCTATCAGTTGTTTTAAAACTATGTCAGGATACCTGGGGAGAGTTTATACACAGAATTTGAGGTTTTTCTCTGCGACTTCCTTCCTTCTGGAATTTCCCCCTTCGTAGTTGCTCTGGTTTTTTCCCTGGCTCTGCTGGTCTGAGAGAAGAAAGAATACAGAACTTCCTACCAAAAATTTAGGCCACTCACACAAGCCTGTGGCTGCTCTCAGAGTCAGGCCATAGAAAACAGGAAACATCTCGTGCTGCTTGCATGTCAGTTTCAATTTACCTCCAGACTCACCCATATTTGTTCACTTTCCAGAGTCTCAGACAGCTGTGCTCTGTATATTGTCCAGAGCTTCTAGATGTTCTCTGCAAGCAACAGGTTGGGTAGTGGCTCACATATATAGATCAGAAGCAGGACCCTCATCCCCACTTGTAAGCAAAAAAGAACTGCCCACTCCCAGGCCCAGCCCTGTTCTGGCTGCTGGAGACCCCAGGGGTCCAGTGCCCTGAGCCCCTGCCCACCACGGAGGAGAGATGCTGCCGTGCAGAGCATCAGGGGCATGTGTTTGTTAGGAGATACGCAGCCTGGCTAGATACGCTTTGTGCATCTGTGCTCACAAGAGCAAATAAACATACCTACTGAGAGTGGGCTCCTTTGTAAACAATATAACAAAGTAAATAATATGCCTGGAGAAAAAACAGAGTTTATTCTAGAATTTCAGTTGGAGTTCATACTTAATACCATTCACATATACACGACATATAAGTTGTTGCTGAAAGCTTAAAATTATTTTTATCTATATTAAAGAAGGAGGCTGAGTTATGGTTGTTGAAGCCGGTTTTTCCTTCAAGAGCTCATTATGCAGGCATCTCTTTCCAAGGGATTTGTGTCATGGCCTTCTCTCTACATCCTTCCTGATCTAAATTCCCTGTGCATGTAACAAAGGAAGAACATCCAAGTGTGCATAGCTGAGAGTTCATGTTTTTTTAAAAAATTCACAGTGTTAATTATATTCTTTTTATTTTAGCCCAAAGAAAGCCCATTAACATTTCTTCTTTTTAAAAATATAATTTTTCTTTTAATTTTTTTCATTTATTGAATTTAGACAGGGAGGGAGAGGAAGGAAGCAAGAGAGTAAACTGTATATTGTTCCATTTCTTTTTTATGCATTGGTTGATTCTTGTATGTGCCCTGACAAGGGATTGAACATGCAGTGTTGGTGTATTGGGACGAGGCTCAAACAACCTGAGCTACTAGACAGTGCCAGTGCTGATGAATGCCCTCAGCTTCCATTTGCTTGGATAGGTCTCTTTCTCCTTTAATTCTATAGGGCAGCTTTGCTGAGTACTAATCTTTATTAGCAGTTCTTTGCCTTAAATATTTTCCAATATCAATCACTCTCTCTTGACTTGCAAAGTGTCTGTTCAGTAATTTGTTCGTAGTCTTATGGATGCTCTATTGTATCTGACAAGTTACTTTTCTATTGCTGCTTTCAAAACCCTCCTTTTGTCTTTACATTTTGAAAATTTAGTTATAAGGTTTGTCAAGGTATCCCTTCTCAAGTCCAACCTATGGAACCTTTGGGCTGAAAGAATATGGATGTCTGTTTATCTCTCCAACTTTGGAAATTTTCAATCATTATTGCTTTACCTAGACTTTTGTTTCTTATTTTTCTTTTTGGCTTCTAGGAGAACCATGATGCATATATGTTTCCCTTGATAATGTCTCCTAAGTCCTGTGGGCATTCTTCACTCTTTATCATTCTTCTTTGCTCCTGTGACTGGACAGTTTCAAGCAGCCTATCTAATAGCTCACTGATTCTTTCCAAAGCTTAATCACATTTGCTTTTAAAGCTCTCTATTCAACTCATCAGCACAGTATTTGTTTTCTTTTGCTCTGAGATACCTGTTTGTTCTTTGGATAGTTTGCTTTTTGTTGCTGAACTCTACTTTTGTTTATGCCTTGTTTGTCTTTTAATTTTGTTGTCTGTGGGATCTTGTTTTAGCTCCTGAATAGCAAACACTTCCTTAAAATTCTGCTCAAATTTCTCCTCCAGTCCAATTCCCAGTAAAAACAAATCTTTGCCCTGAAAAAAACAAAAACAAAAATAATGACACTTATTATCACTGTCACTAGAAACCTTGCAATTTGGAATGATCACAAATCTTCCCTAAAACACAATTAAATAACATTAACCAGGTGAAGGTTAAAAACTCATGTGGCTAAGAGTAATTTCTGTGTCCTAAGTGCAAGTTAGACACTATAGACTAGGCAAAAATGGAAAAACATTATCATGCCTGGGGACTCTTATTCATTGGTTTTGGTTCTTTAGTGATAATTACAGAAGTAATATAAAGTCTTTGTAACAATAAAACATTACAGAAGTCTAAGTACAATCAGTGATATTTCTCTCAAATTGTCACTTGTATTTCTTTCTGGTGACTCTGTTAACTATGTGGGTTATTGACAGACAAAGGAACCTGAAGTCTGAAATTTCTGAGTTGGATTAGTAATATCTGGGGGGACATAGGAAGCACAACTGTGACTTTAGGACGCAATTCACTTCTGACTTTGTTCAGAGAGGGGAGGATGCTCTGTTCTCAGTGGGCACTTCTTGCCTTTGAAGGGAGGAATGAGCGCTCAGGGGTCTGAAGCTTTGGTTGCAGGGGCACCAAGGAACTCACTGCTATGCTCTGTCTTGAATTTTAAAAGCCACTCACTTTCCGATATCTTGCTTACATAGGCTTGTTATAGCGTGAGGTTAACTGTAAAGTTTCCATACATCAAAAAATGAGGACAAAATAACTAAATGGAAAAAAAAGGAAATGGAAGCAGTAGAAACACTTACTTTATAAAATGCCCTGTGATTCTGAAAGATGAGGCGCATGTCCCTCACGAATCCCTCCACACAGGGGTAACAGCGCTCACTTAGATTTTTCTTGATTTTATTCAACATCATAGACTTATCCATGCCTTTAGAAGTCTCTAGAGGCTGGAGGAAAAAAATGAGAGAATTTGTGATACAGTGCAATGTTCGCCTTGTTTGGATTTCTGCAAAATCCAGCCCAATGCCAGGTACAGATAACAACAGCTCCTGCCCCCACTCCATGGGTTTCAGGTCACAAATTCACCAAGAGCAGATGTTAACACCAGGTGACAATGGACAACCTCTAATCATAGTTTATTTTTATTACTTACACAATTATCTTGTTGAATTATCTCAAGACAGCAGCTGTCTGGATGGCAATAGATTTCCAAGAGGAGGAACTCGCATTTCTGCAAGAGAAGGAGGGTTTGAATGAAAAGTAACTTAGAGTGAATGACCCATAGGTATGCCCAGGCAGGGGCATGTCCACACTAGTTTTCCAGCAGTTTCCTCAAACAGGTAGGGCTCTGGGAAACAGACAAGTAATGGTGGAGGAATTTTTCCCGCATGCCAGTCCCAGTGAGGTTTCAGGGTGGATGAGACCAGGACAGAAATGCAGACACCTTTTGGCGCCATCCCTAACCCTTTAACTGTTTGACTTCTCACATGGGAGTGGAAAAAAGAACTTTCCAGGTTCAAATCAACTCACCAGCTGCTCCTCAGGCCCCATTGGTCTCTTCAGCACCTCAGATTCATGGTAGACTGGCTGCCTTCCTGCAGGTTCCTTTATCCTGCAGAGGGTGCAACTCCACGGTCTCCTGAATGAGCAAAGCATAAGTGAGCAGGGCAACGTCTCAGAAACAGCCACCGTTCCCGGGGCTGCCACTGTTCCCCTTTCAGGAATGGCTGAGGGACAGAGACTGAGAATGAAGGGGACACTCTCCAGAGTCTCCAGGTCCGCCATGTAAGGCCTGAGACGATGACTTTCCTTTCAATCAGGGTACAAGCTGGGGTTCAGTACATAAAGGGTGCTATCAGGGTAAGTGGTGGGCTCTCCTTTCCACGTCTGAGCTGCTGGGAGTACCAGGCCTGCCCACCAGGCCTGAGTGCCAGAGATGGGACCTTAACTCCTAGTGGCCTAGGGCCTCAGTCAGCCACTTGAGAACATGGCAGAAGTTCGTGTCTGTTGCCTTTTCTAAATAAGCAGACAACATAAACAGCTGGCTTCCACTACCATGACCCAGAGTCCATGCTTAGGAAGTTCTGGAATGGACAGCAGTGATTTGCTGGCAAAGAGCCCAACCACTGGCCTCATCCTCCCCAAAAGAGAGGAGAACATTCCCCTCCTGCTGCCAGCGTCTTTCAGCAGCTCCTGGACCTTACTGCTGACCCCGGACCTCCAGCCCTGCTCTTTCCCCACCAGAACAATAGGAAGGACCCCCAAGGGGAGCATGCATGGCAGGAGGAAGGACCCCATACAGAGACGGGGGGCTGCATCCCACAAACCTCTTAGTGTCCACTGGTGGGAGGTGACAGGACCCATGAAAGACTCTTGAACAAGTATCACAGCGGATGAGGTCTTCTCCATACCAGCAGACCTCACATACATCTGACGTTTCAAGCTAGAAGGTAAAACAATGCATCCACACTGAGACCTCAGAAGGCCACCACTCTTAGATTCTAGAGTCACAGCCTTTTTTAAACCTGGAAGAACAGTTATGTGCTTCTGAGTGGAGATTTCAGAGGAAGAATTATTTTTCTCATTGAAGTTTAAAGGAAGGACTTGTGTGTCAGACCAGGAAAGTTTTTTCTGTAAACCAAGAGATTCTAACACAGAAAGGAACAAAACAAGACAATGATTTCTATAGAATTGAATCATATAATTAACTTGTAGATAAACCAATGTCCAGAAATAAAGTGTTAAATCCATTTGCCTACAACACAATGGCCAAAAAGACCCACGGAAAGGTGATACACTGAGAAATTGAGATGGAATAAGCTTCTAAGAAAGCATGTTGTCATCCTGTTTTCTTGGCTGGAGGCTCCCCATGAGTTGAAGGGCCTGAGAGGGGTTCGTGGACTATGGATTATGTGTAACCCTGCCCACCTGGGAATATCAGGTTTCAGCTCTCTGTGAGCCATGGAATCTTGCACACAAATCAGACACAGCCTCCCACGGAAACCAGGTACCCACCATGCCCCACCCAGCCCTTGGGCATCCAGTTGGTTCCTGAGGGCAACCTGGGGGAGGCCTGCAGCGGGGCACTGCCTTCCTTCCTGGGCCTGGCAGTATATGTGAGTAATAAACTCCTGTCAATGCATCTGTCCAGTGACAAATGCCATTACTTGCTATCACCCAAAATGTCCATTTGACAAACCTCCATTATCAATGGGATGAAAAGTAGGTGATTAAAACAGGAAGCCAGTCATTAAAGGCAAAGTAAGCTAAACGTCAGGAAATTCCAACTGTGAGATCTGAGTGAAGCATTCTCTAAAGGCTGCCAAATTGCAGGTCAGTTAAAAACACTGGTTGATCCTCAAAGATTCAGGTATGGAAAAATTAAAAGACCTCAGAAAAAGCAAGAATAAGGGTGGAAAAATAAAAATTTAAAAATAAATAAAGCAGGAAATCACATTTTTAAACAGATAATCAGTATTAACATGTGAATCATGAACAATTAGGAAATACATCGCCTCGTCTTGCTTTCTTGGGTTTGCCCTGTGTGAAAATCCAGAAAATTTGAGAAGCACTTGGGGTAGTTCTATCCCAGATGCAAACATCCTGTCTATCCCATGGTCTATTGGAGAAGCTCCTGCCCTCTTGCGACCATCTGCCACAACAAAAATGAGAATGGCCTGGGGAGTGGAGTGCTGGGTGGGAGGAAAGAGGATCAGTGAAGAGCAGGAGGGAACAGGAATGATCGTGTCCACATTTTTCTGCTATGGATATTTTTGATCACTCTACACACAAATGGTGTGCCATTATGACTGTGGAACAGTCAGTTGGAAAGCAACCCCCTCTTCACTGGCCAAGATGGCAGCAGTGGGAGGTTCTTACACTGAGCATGCAAAAAGCTAACAAGATAATTGGATAGAAAAAAGCCCTCTCCACTGCTCTTACCTCTAACCTTGTAGTAGTTTTTGCTGGGGTTAGGGGATGGCAGACACCTATGCCATAGAGTTTAAAATGGTGCATGGGAAGGTGCTGGACCAAAGAGGCCTGTCTGTCTAACATGGGGAAGGAAGGGATTGGTTGGGAGTGAACCCACCCAAAGTGCCGGAAAGTTTGAAAACTTGATTGGTCACTTTGAGAAAGCACCTGGTCTGTCCTGCACGAAAACTAATATAATCCTAGGGGAACAAAGAAGTTCTCTCTCTCTTGTTCTTGACCTGTACTCACAAGGTGGACTGGCCTGTTCTCTCTAAGGTCAAGTGGGCTTGACATCCACATTGCCCATGGACTCCATGTGGGAGTCAGTTTCTCTCTCTCTCTCTCTCTCTCTCTCTCTCTCTCTGACCCACCTGGTGATGTACTCGCCAGTGTGCTCACAAGTTCTCTCCTGGAAGTACCTGACCAAGCAGCCCTAGTAGCCATATCACCTATGGCCATGTGGGCCCTACACACAGGATACTGGTGGGAGCAGCTGGGAAAGTGCTAAACCACCTGGATGGGGACCAACACTGCTTAGCAGCCACCTGCAGGCTGCAATGGAATGTACTTGAAAACAGAGTGACAATTCTGGACACTAGCTTTTGTCTTGGTCTTGCTGAGGAGATGGACTTTTTGCGTGGTAGAAGGAGATGGTCTTTGAGACAGGAGTCCACCATTCTCCAAGGTCATGCACCACCTGAAAAAATCCTCTTGCCTTTTGCACCAGCATCTTCCTTATGAGTTTGGCTTTTGTAGCAACATGCAGCTGAACCTCCGTTTTTGTTCAGTTACACCATCACTCTCCTGGGTTTACTCAATCAGCCTCACTGTTCTGTCTCTTTCCTTTCTAGCCCTTCTTCTCCTCCAACATTTACATAGAATCCCCTAGGTTTCCATCTTTGGCTATTTGGTCGGCCTCAGATGGTCAAATCACTCTGACATCAGCAGGTCTATTGCTATGCCTCCAGCTCCCAGATGTCCAACCAGTCTCCTGCCTTTGTGCACATCCTTGTGCTCACTCAGCATCTCTTTCCAGGCACTTTAAAGCACAACCCAAACTCATGCAGTCAAAACTTAACGTATTCTCCTGTCCCCAAACTCACTACATGTTCTTTCCTGGTGCTTCCATTTCATAAAATGTACACTTTGGACCACAAACCCGAGAAGGCATCCTGAGTCTATTCTTTTACTCATATTCCAAATCCTGTCTGTCCCTACTCCACATAATAACTTGTAAGCTTCTTTTGATTGTTCCATCATTCATGTAGGGTCCACTGCCTACATGGATGCTGAGACCCTAATGAATTGTTTCACCTTAGTACATAAAGAAAAGGGGCCTGTTTCTCAAAGTCTGTGTTACATCTTGGCTGAGTACACAAAGATCAGAAGTGTCCCTCTTGAAGTGAATGGGCAAAAGAATTTGGATCATAGCTCTGTTACTTCTCTTAGTGCAGAAAATGATGAAAGATGAATAGTCACTAACCAACAATTATTTTCAATCTTGTTCTGGACTTTTTAGTGAAAATTCTTGTGCTGGGGAAATTTAGAGTCTGGTCATTTCTTTGGCTTTTAAAAACATTTATACATGACAAAGACCAAGGCCCAGTGGCCATCTTGCCATAGCTCCCATTCAATTTCCTGGGAGAATCCTGAATCATATGCCCAAGGAAGACTGAGACTGCTCTAGAGTGGAGGTCTGGGGACAGTTTCCTTCTCATTCTAGGGACTCAGATGACCATTGTCATTCTCCAGAAAGAGGTGACTCTCTTCCCAGAAGAACAAGGAAATAAAAACTGCTACCAATGCATACGAACCCTGCATCCTTAATCGTTAATCAAGTTTAGGCCCTTTTCTCTTTGGCTCTTTGTTTCTTATGCCAGCTGCACATTGGAATTGCCTGAGGGTAGTGTATAAAATACTAGAGTCCCGTTCCCAATGTCAGAGATTCTGATCAATTTGTCTGGGTTGAGCACAGGCATTGGTTTTCTCCTTAAAGTCGTAGAATGGGCAACTTGTGTAACAGAATCATTTATAAAGTTTAAATAATGATAACACACAGATAATACTTCAGGCTGATTAATTCTGACTTTTATAGAACATAGCATCTAGGCAACGCTATTTTACAAAGGTGGTCAGGTGATTCCAGTACATCCTACTTGGAGACTTGACCAAAGCCAGTGTCATTAGCAATGCATGAGGATCTTATAAGTCACTGTTAAATTGGCCTGTAGTATCTACCCTAGGGAAGATTATCATTAACAGGAATGAGGGTACTCTTGCTCGAACAGTTGCCCCCTCCTCCTCATGGACTCTAGGCTATTAGTATTATGAGAGGACCCTCTAGGTCCCCAGCCATCATTCAGTGTCCTGGGAGCCATATAAGTATCCCAGAGAAGATATCCACCACCTCCTACAGCTCGTCTAGGGCATCACACCAAAGATAAAATGAATCAAAGCTCTTCGGTATGGCAGCTCTTCCAGAATGTCACCCTTATCTTGTTTCGATCCAATTCCTAAGAAGGCCCTTGGCTGACTTTTCACAGGAAACAGACCACTGCGTACTGCACTTGCATTGCTTGTGTGTGTTCAGGAGAATGACTTGGCCTCCTTCCCTTGAGGCAGTCTCAGCTTTATCTCTAGCCAGAGCAGAAAGGTCATGGACAAGTGTGATCCCCTAGAAAGTGACCTGAGAAATGGTCATGTCACTGCCTGCCTCTCTGGTACCTCAGAATCCCTGCTTCTAGTAATACTTCCATGGTCTACAATGAAGGTGAAACAGTCCTTGAGGCCAGGGATATTATTTCAACCCTCCTTAATGGACATCTTGAATTTATAAGAAGTCAATTGTATGTTGAATGAGTAAATAAATGTGCATTCTTTCACTTGGGAAGAGACATTACATGTTATTGCTTAAGGCAGCATGAGCATATAATCAATGTTTGTTTTGGCTGAGTAGATGAGATTATTTGACAACACAGCAGCTGTCACCAGAAAGTATAAGTGGCCCCCATCAGGAGACAGGAAGCTGTCATGTGGTACTAGGTGCCATGCTGAAATTTAGAGAAACTGGGGGTTCCATCAGAAGAGAATATCAGGGAGTAAAAAGAGCCCAACATGGTAATAATGCGCCTTGAGATTTGCCACTTCAAGTCACTTCATGAGAAACTCTTCCTTTTGGCTACGGAGTGTTAGAACCATTGAAAATGATCGAACCATTGTTTGGAAGTTGTTAGCTCCTTTAGGTAATCCAGATAAAGTAACCTTAGACACATGGAGAATGGTAGAGACACTGCTTTTCAAAGTAGGCACTGAATAAAGAATGTTAAATATATTTTATCTTTTATAAACTCAGTGGATGGAAAGTCCCAAAGACTGATACTTAGACCAATTCTCAGATCATCAGATAAGGTAAAGGCCTGGACCTCACACTCCCAGTGTCAGATGAAGTCCCAGCTCTGTGTAAGCAAATGTAGAATTCTGTGAGAGTCCTGAGTGGCCATTTCTACCTGAACCATGTGAGAACAGCACCTCCAGCCTTCCCCTCTCAAGTTCTTGTTCATATCTAGTCTTGAAAAAACTACCCCTCAGTCTTGAATCTACACTGCACATACGTATTTGTTTATTGCCCCCACACCTTCCTCCACAGAGGGAGAAACCATTTTCACAGACAGAAAGGAGGCCTGCACAGCCCCTGAGGTGGAGCCAATGAGGGGCATCAAAGTAAACCATTTTCCGGGCCAGCCCCTCACGTAGGCTACATCCGTCTCCCAAGAGCTCCCTCCCCAACAGCACCATCCCCATAAAGGACAAATAACTTCCAATTAAGGAAGAATTCTCTTTATCTGTGTGATGTTTTATTGAGTAATGGAGAGGATGTAAAAAATATGAACAAAATCTGGGATGGAGTTGAAGACCCTCTTGACCTTCTTAAGAAACATTTTTATGTATTCCATAAACATGTTGGCATGACATTTGACACTCATACAATATCTTTAACTATAACTCTTCTGTGAGTCTATTTTCATGGTTCCTTAATATCTAAACATCAGATGGTTTAGCTTTCACAGATAACCTCGCATACAAACTGATGTTCAATGGAGCAACTCTGATGGATGCAAAATGAATAAACAAAATGAAATAGGTAGGAGAGAAGAAAAGAGGAAACAACGCTAATCACACAATTGAGAAACCATTAAAAATGCATATATAAAACTGCTTATAAAGCAGTACATATAAAATCAGTTATGTAATAAGAACTGGTATAAAAAGATAATCACCTTTTCTTCCTTGCCATATTTTCCAGGTGGTATATGTAGTTTTCCTTCCTAAAAGATAAAAAGATCCAAATATATGCTTAGCCTGCGTTTATGTTTTGTGAGTCTGGCATTAACCTCCTTGTAAATATTTCTTCTTGGACCTCACACTATCAACTCAATGCAAAACACTCTCTCCTCATCTGTATTGATTCTAGAATTCATCCATGGAACCCAGAAAATCCTCTCCAGAACATGTTTCCTTCCTCATGTGCTCTTTTCCTAAGTTTTCAGAGGTTTGCCTTCACAATCTCTTTGACACCTCTCCCCTCCTCCCCATTCCCACCAGTGCCTCTCACACCTGCCTCCTTACACCAGGGCTATTCAACCGACACACACGGGTCCCACACCTACAGGCAGCTGGACAACGCTGGGCACACAAAGAAGGACAAACCCTAGTGTGGTCTAGAGAGTCAAAGGGAATGCATGGGAGGGTAAGAATAAAACAACATGAGAAGGGCCTTAATGGTAAGTTGAGGAGGCCCAGGGAAGGGACGACCAGAGCAGGTCAGTCAGGGAACATTCAGGCAGGAGGACCTGGGAGCTAAGCCTTGTACGTTGACTATAGGTTTTTTGGGCTGAAAGACAATGAAGTCATTTCAAGTCCCCATGTTGTCTGAGATACTATTTTAAATATGTCATGTCACACCTCAGGAGACCTCCCTGGTTCTGCACTATGTTATGAATTTTAACTCTTTAGCCTGACGTTAAATCCCTCTGCACACAGCCCCAGCTTGTGGATTCGGTCATTTCACACTCAATGCATCTATCTCAACCCACAGAGCCTAGTTACTAGTGGTTCTGGTTTCCAAGCCATTCTTTCTCTGGAGTGTCTTCTGCCCACTTGTTTGACTGCAAATGGTCTTCTTTCTTTCAGTGCCTGAAATTGTCTGCAGGCACTTGAGCCAGAATGACCTTTGCCTGCTGGAGCTCTTGAATCTACCCAGGCAGAGCCCCTTTAAGAACTTGATAGGCTCATTGTACTGCGGTAGGAATGTCAGGCAACTCTCCCCTAGTGAAGCATAAAGTGAGGGGCCCCAGAGATCTGGAGATAACTCAACATACATTGGGTGATCAATCAGTGATCTCAGTTTGACAACAACAACAACAAAAAAGGCGTATCTCCTGCATGCCACTAGAATACCTTCATCAGCCATTTTAGGGTATTTCCACCACAGCGCACAATTCTCTTCCAATTAGTTGATTTTTGATAACCTCCTGCAACTCCAAATTCCCTGGGGGTGAACCAGTTTCCGTCTTCTGTCTTTATACACTTCACTGTGGATCCTGTAAGACCAGGATAAGTTGGTCCTGAAACTTCTCTGTCTTCATAGTTCAGACACTGGCCTCCCAGTGCCCTGGATCTCGAGTCGCCCAATTTGAACTCAAGATCAATATCAGAAGAGTTTGACCTCCCTTTTCAAACATCAGAATCCCTAAAACCAGCTTGCAAGTCCCCTCTTGGAGATATGCTGCTTTCTGTTCAAATTTCTTTGGCATTTATGGAAAAATATGTGATCATTAGCTTCAAAGTCAACATTTTAAAGTATTCCAAAATCACTGGAAGGAAAAACAGTTATTGCGAACAATGAGGGGGTTTCAATTTGCTATTGAATTCTGGAGACACAGTCCGGCCAGACACTCTGGTGGCCTGGGACAATCTGGAGGCAGAACCTCACATGGATTGGGAACTCAGGTGGGGGCCCTGATCCTCAGAATGGTGTTGTGGCAACATCGGTGCCCTCCATTATACCAGCTTTCATCTAAGTGTAATGGCATTGCTGAGCAGAGGTGTTCCATCCCTGAAATCATGGGTGGCTAACATGAAAATAATTGGGAAATATTTCTCAGTGGAAAATTTGTTATACATAATACACAGTCGTAATAAGTGAAAGTCAAACCCACAATGAGATACTACGTTAAGCCCTGGGATGGCCATAAGGAGAAAGAAAGACAATAATAAGTGTTGGTGAGAATGTAGAGAAATGGGAGCCCTGACACTTTGCCAGTGGGAGTACAAACTAGTACAATATTGTGGAAGATAGTTTAGTTTTTCCTCAATAAGTTCAACATAGAAGTACCATACAACTCAGCAATTCCACTCCTGGATATATACCCAAAAGAATCTTAAAAATATGTTCACACAAATGTTTTATATGAATGCTTAAACAGCAACTTGCATATGCAAAGAGAATAAAAACGCCAATGAATGGACAAATAAACAAAATATGGCATATCCAGACCATGGAATATAATGTGATTTGGCAGTAAAAAGAAGGAAATATAATACATGCTCTTACATGGGTAAACCTTGAAAACCATGCTATGTGAAAGAACCAGTCACAGAAAGGCACATGTTATGAGTTAATTGATATGAAATGCCTAGACAAGCCAGTTGATAGGTCCGGAAATAGATTATTGGTTGCTTAGGCTGGGCATGGGGTGAAGTGGAAGTTAACATTGACTACTGAGAGGCATGAGGTTTCCTTTAGTGGGGGACAAAATCATTCTAAGAGACTGATGACCCTGCACTTATCTTTGGTCCTTTGGGCTTCCTCACGGGCACTTGCACATGGTGGGGAGCACTTAACATGCGCCATTGCTTAGTGTAAACATGTCACCCTAGCGATCCTTCCTTCTTCTTTCAAGAGAGAGTGGGGCCTCGATTTCTTAAATGATGGGAAATTCCATGGGTATTTCCATTAATTCTTTGATTCCTCTACATACGTACTTAATTATACTTATGGCTAGTATTATAAGTTAAGTATACCATTAAACCCACCTTCTTCCAACTTGTTCTTATACAACATGCCTTTCATCTCTCCACAGGTCACTGGAAGTGTTTCAGAGCAAAAATCCACATATTCTTCTTCCTGTGGTTTTGACCCTGAAAGAGAAGTTTTTCATTTTGTCTCATTTTATAATTGCACACATACACCTTTCTCCTGTGTTGAGGTCATTTCCATAAAGTCATAGGAGTACTTAGAAAACTTTATTCCACAAATTTGCAGAGTTTCAGAGTCTTTCTTTCAGTGGCATTTTTAATAAATTCTTTTATATTGTGCCTATAGACGTTTCTCTATCCAGCCACATTCTTTAATACATTCTGTCAGCACCAGAGAAACAGCTGGAAGGGTGTCAGTCACATGCAGGGAGTAGGTGAAGTGACTAGAAATGGGGCAAGTGTTGGGCAAACCTCTAGAAGCCAGGCAGCAGCACTGTCCCCTCCTTGAGCCCTCCCCAACACAAAGCCACAAAGTAGTGAAGTGGGTTGCCCCACCCTTGGGATTAACTAAGGCCCCACCCCACACAATTTACAGGTGCCTTTTTAACAACAGGCCACACTATTAAGGCTGGGAGTCAAAGCAGCTCTACCTAATACACAGAAACAAACACAGGGAGGCTACCAAAGTGAGGAGACAAAGAAATATGGCCTCAATGAAAGAACAGAATGAAACCCCAGAAAAAGAACTAAATGAAACAGAGATAACCAGCCCATTAGATGCAGAGTTTAAAACACAGGTGGTCAGAATGCTCAAAGAACTCATTGAGTATGGCAACAATATAAAGGAAGAATGAATCTTACACTAAGTGAAATAAAATAAAAATATACAGGGAACCAACAGCTGCGGGGAGGAAGCCCAGATTCAAATCAACAATTTAGAACATAAGGAAGAAATAAGCATTCAACTATGAAAGCAAGAAGAAAAAAGAATTAAAAACAAAACAAAACAAGGATAGTATAAGGAGCCTTGGGGATATCTCCAAAAGTACCAACATCTGAATCATAGGGATACCAGAAGGAGAAGAGGAGGAGAAAGTAATTGGAAACATATTTGAAAAAATAATGAAAGACAACTTTCCTAATTTGGTGAAGGAAATAGACATATGAGTCTAGGAAGCACAGAGTCTCTAACAAATTGGACCCAAAGACCACCACACCAAGACACATCATACTAAAATGCCAAAGGTTAAAGATAAAGAGAGAATCTTAAAAGCAGCAACAGAAATGAAGAGAGTTTCTTACAAATGAGTTCCCATAAGACTGTCGCTGATTTCTCAATTTTTGATTTGCAGGCAAGAAGGGACTGGCAAGAAGTATTCAAAGTAATGAAAAGCAAGGACCTACAACCTAGATTATCTAGCAAAGCTATCATTTAAAATGGAAGGGCAGATAAAGTGCTTCCCAGACAAGGTAGAGCTAAAGGAGTTCATCATCACCAAGCCTCTATTATATAAAATGTTAAAGAGACTTATATAAGAAAAAGATCAAAAACTATAAACAGTAAAATGGCAACAAGTTCACAACTATCAACAACTGAATCTAAAAACAACAAACTAACCAAACAACCAGAACAGGATCAGAATCATAGATAGGGAGATAACATAGAGGGTTATCAGCTGGGAGGGAGCAAAGGGTGAGTGAGGGAAAAGGTATAGAGATTAAGAAGCATAATTGGTAGGTACCAAATAAACAAGGGGATTTTATGAATAGTATAGGAAATGGAGAAGCCACAGAACTTATATGCACAACCCTTTTACATGAACTAAGTGGGGAATTGCTGGAAGGAAGGGGGTAGCTGGTGGAGAGGGCAAGGGGGGAAATATTGGAACAACTGTAATAGCATAATCAATGAAATATACTTAAAAAGTTCTTGAAAATCACCACTTTAACCCAATAACTCCCAAGTTTGTTTCTTAAATCTTTAGCTCTTTTAACTCTACAAAATAGACATTACCATTGTTTTATAGTCACTATTCCTATAATCAAAACATTTATATGTCCTGACTGGCGTGGTTCTGTGGGTTGGGCACCATCCCACTGACCGAAAGGTTGCTGGTTCAATGTCCAGTCAGGGCCCATGCTTGGGTTGCAGGTCCGGTCCTCAGTTGGGGACAAGCAAGAGGCAACTTATTGATATTTCTCTGATGCATCAATATTTCTTTCCCTCTTTCTCCCACCCTTCCCCTTTCCCTAAAAATAAACAAATAAATAAAATCTTTTTTAAAATTAAAAATAAATAAAAACAAGTAAAATCTTATTCACTCTCACATCTTTTTCTCTTGGTTTTTTGTGCAGTAGAATTTTCTCCAAGATCCGCAGGACCTAGAAAATAGTAGGTGGTGGTGAGAAAACTGAAATGAGAAACTAGAAGATGTAGATCTTAAGATGATCACCCTGCAGAGGGCTCGAATTTATAGGGTGCTTGATGTATTGTTTCTGTCTTCATTCTACAGGAACGTAAAAACCATCTGAATCGAGAAGTAGGAGCCCAGGATGGTAAAAAAAAAACAAAACAACACCTTAAATATCTTCATATTTCAGTTTATACAGGGATAGGAACAGGTATCTTGTCCTGTTCAAGTTTATGATTTTTGTGAGATGTTGGAGCCCCCTCAGTTGGGTCTCCAAAGAGCAGTGGAATTACAATAACTGTTTTCAACATCCACAGTTTTTGGAAGTAAAGGAAAACACAGCTGATAATCTATAATTGAATGAGTTGTAATTCTTCTCTTTACACTGAAGAAAGATATAGAACAAAAGACTTGATGATGATCATTTCTGCCTCTTCTCATCTAAAGGAAAGATGTCACTACAGAATGAAGCAGACAACCACAATCCTTTAGCCTATATGTAAAATCAGGGAAGTTTTGAAAATCAACATTTTTTCATAGGTTTGCAACTAATTAATTTGGAAGGAAATCTGGACTTGGCTACCATGAGTCCATGTAAAATTTTTATTTATCATACTTGGGGTGAATCCACACAATTTACAGGAACATTAATATTTGAGAATGATATTCTGCCCTAGACCTTTTTGGGGCCTTTTGTAACATACATGATATAAGCCACAGTGTCTTTCTAAAACAAGAAAACATTACTATTATTTTACACGTGGATTCAGAGCTTTTGAATAAAGGATTTTGGATGCTTGCTAGGAGTCTAGGCTTTTATTTTGACCTCTTTTGGTAACTTTTCATGTGATGTGTAAAGATCTTGAAAAACTCATAAATACAGACAGCAAACTGATACTCCCCAACAGTGGAATGGGGGAGTAGCAACAGTTACCCCGGCCTAAATTGTAGGTTATTGTAAAACGTAAACTGTTATCGTATTTTGCAAAGACATGTTCAAATATCATTATATAGGCCAATGCCACATTGGGGGTCATCTGTCAAAATTTATAAATTGAATTTGACAGTAATAACCAGAAGCTTTTCCTTTTGTGAATAACTAAAATAATTAGAATATGTTTTGTGACAAAGTGTTGATCCACCCTTTACCCTCGTCTACTTCTCCAGCCTACTCTCCCTCCGGTAATCACCATACTCTTGTCTGTGTCTATGTATGAGGTTTTTTTGTTGTTGTTTGTTTGTTTATTGATCCCTTCACCTTTTTCACCCAGCCGCCCACCCCGCTCCCTTCTCACACCTGTCAGTCTCTTCTCTGTATCAATGAGTCTCTTCCTATCTCGTCTGTCAGTTGATTTTGTTTTTTGCAGTTTTCAGAGCGGCCACGCGAGAGCAAGGCAGGAACGGGCTCCCGGGCGGGGGCTGTGCCCAGAGGGGCAGGAGCTCAGACCTCAGCCTCCTGCTGTCCTGGAGCCCAGCGATGGCGGTCCTTACCTTCCACACCAGCCCCACTTCCCACGGCGGGGCTCCCAGCTCCCGGGCGCTGCTCCTCTGCACTGAGCCCCGAAGGCCCTTCAGGAATTCTCACTGCAGAAGGAGCAAATGTCTGTTGAGGGTCTCAGTGTGTGACAAGGAACTCAGAGAGGAAAAAATAGGAAGTTCTGAAAACCCAGGGCTAGCTTGTCCCTCTCTCAGACCTCCCTGATTCGCAGTTTGTATTAACATGACCTGCAGGTCAGTTTTCTCTCATTCACTGTCCCCTGAGCCTGGGGTGGAGATACTTCACTCTCAGTGGCTCCTCTGCGTTCTCTGGGCCCTCCGCATTCTGCACTGTGTTCTCTTTCTTCCTTTACACGCAGCTGTCTGGACTTGTGTTTGGGTGTCATTGCATTAATTATGAGCTCTGCTTCTCTCCCAAGGTGGTCTTACAAATCTGCCACTGAAGAAGGCGGGTCTGTCACTTGGCTGCTTCCCAGAATGCCTTTGTGAAATAGAGCCCCACCCCTCCCCCTTCTGTATTCTATGGTGTTCCAGTCATTGATCTCTTTCGGTTTATTTATTAATACAAATGTTAAATTATGAACTATCTTAAATTAATACAAATTTGCATTTTACTATTAAAGATACAGCAAAGAATTAGAGGGAATCTTTTGTAGAAAACACTGTTCATTTGTAAACATGGAAAGTTCTTATTTGTTCTTACTTCTTTTGTGAAGCCTGTTTCCAGATGTAGGTGATTTTCTTAAGTTCATAGACTCTATAAAGTAAGAGAGAGAAAACATTTTTTTGCAATGGTCTTATACATTCTATAACAACTCACACAGCAGATAGGGTTTGTGATCATTTCAACACTGAGATGAGCATTTTCCCCTTTCCTTCAACTGAACCCAGTTCTGGAGCCCAGGGTCACAATGCTGGGCTCCTGCCCTGCTCTCCCCTTTATGCTCCAAGTGAATTTGTAAGTGACCTTCAAATATTACCATCTCCAGTGTCCTCAACTATAACACTGGGATAACCTGGATACCTTATTCCCCTGTTCAGGTTTTTGTGAAAAAAAAAAAATTGAACCTTTATTCACAAAAGCCCTTTGAAAAATAAAAATGTAAGCCAATAGTTTAAGTATCATTTGGATTTAAGAGTGTTGGTCTGAGCCAGTTTTTCCTTAAGTATTCAGCACAAAATTTTAAATACCAGCACAAATTATTCTTTGAAGATATTTTAAAGATATATTTTGAAGATATTTGGTACTAATGACAATATTGTCAACAAATACAGAAATTCTGGGCTCACTCTGCTCTGCATAATATAAAGAATGTTTGTAGAGACTACACCTATTATTTCAACTCTTTAGTGTTAATAGACATGACAGTGTATGTAGTAAGACTGCCCTTTACTAGTGTAGTGTATTATTGCTACACTTAATGTATCAATTGATTGGACTCATGTAATTAAACAACAGTTTATAATGCCTCTTGCTTACTCCTATCGTCCAACAGAGTCAAAGAAGTTAAATGCTCAAAATGGTGCCGTAGAAGTAATTGAATCAGTGTATATGGAGAATGTCAGAATAAGATTCATCAGGAATACAGACTCTACATTTAGAGTCTGGATTTTTGTTGTCTGGAAATACAATCTTAATATTCTCATCTGGTGCAATTCAGAGTCATGAACAGGTGGCTTCCTGGGTCCCTCCTCCTTTGCTTGATTCTAAGGAGTCAAGGTTATCGATCACTGCACAAAGGAAACGTATTCTTCAGGTGTCTCAGTGTGTGACCAAGGAGAGAATTCAGCAGGAAATTCCCTAATAAAGCTTGGAAACATCTTGCTTGAAAACCCATGTGTCATGGCCTATAATTAGACCACTTGGTCTGTCCTCTAAGTCACCTGCCTTGTAGGTTAGTGATGCTCCATTCCCTGTCCCCAGAGCAGAGGCCAGTCACTGGCAAGGGGCCCTTCTGCTCTGTCTGGGCCTTACCTTCCTACACTTCTCTCTCTTCCTTCTCTTACCCCTTCTGTTGTCATTTCAAAATGTCAACAGCTCTTAATTCAGTAGCTCTCAGTTCAGATTCCTGCAGCCCAAGCCTGGAGCCCCAGCCACGTTACCAGTTTCCTTTGTCAGTGCTGAGTTGGGGGTTTGGGGGAGGGAGGTGCATCTCCATCATCAAATTCTGCGGAGTCATCACTGCTGATCACCACACAGAGGAGCAAACCCTTTAGAGTTTCAGGGTGACACCAGGGAGCCCATGGATAGGAAACCCCCTTAAAGAGAGCACTAGGAAGACCTAGAAGCTAACTGAGATTCCTGGGGTCTGTGCCTAAATGTGTGTGACCTGCAGACTCCTCCAGGTCCTGCACAGAAGGGGGTGAGGTTCAGGCACAGAGGGCAGCTGTGCCCGTCCTGCAGCCCTTCTTACCCCACGGTCGCCCTGTCTCCCGCCTCTACTCTCGCTCTACTTCTCGTGTGCTCCCCCATTCTTCTCCTTTCCTCTACTCTCTGTTACCTCCTACCTCACTCTACCTTTCATTTTTTTTAATCATTTGAGCCTACCAAAATATCTATTAAGCTAGAAAGATGGATCAGAAAGTTTACATAAAGCCTAATTTTAAAAATGGAATCAAATTATTTGTATTTTAATATTATTTCTTAGTTCTAAATTAAGTTATTGGGGTGATATTGTTTCACAAAACTCTACAGGCTTTAAGTGTACAACTCAATAAAATGTCATCTGAACACAGCACTGTGCACGCACCACCCCAAGCAAAGTCTCTTTCTTCACTTTCCTTTTGGTTCAGCCCATTTTGGCTAATTGTGCCTGTTCCTGGTAAAGGCAAAAGTATCTCTCTATATCTCTCTTGTCTTCATGTTTAGTTTTTTCCATCCCCTTTCATGAATATCTTGGGCTGAATTACTTCCCTTTTCTTTAACTCTTACCCCTCATACCTCCCTCCCTCTGAATATAGAAATATACCCTCTGACATCAATGCATTAATTTACCTTTTCTGTTTTAGATATTTTTCCAATTACTGGGGACATTTTTCTGCTGAACTTGTTGCATAAGGCACGAGTTCTCTCCCCTTCCTACTTGTAGCCAAGGTCACCAGGCGGCCTCCCTGGGCCCTGTGACGCGTCCCAGACCCTCGACGGGTACCGCGGTTCCCCTCACACACTCTTTCAGTCAGCCCTGCCTGTTCGTCAGACTGCTGGTTGCATTGCGGTCGGTCCTTCCTTAGTCTTCCCATTCACCGCCTAAGTTAAAAAATGCCTTTCCCTTCATTATCTCCACTGCATCTACAGAGCAAGAATTGATTCGGTTTCCATGATGGGGTAGCTCTGCTCCTGGACTAAGTGCAATTAATGAAGAATTGCCTTTGTCTCCCAAAAGGAGGGAGCGCCCTCACTGAAAGGAAGCCCTGCTCCCCGCAATCCCCCTCCTCCTTTCCTGCTGCTCGGCTCTGCCCGTCTCTAGAGCCTCTTTTAGCCCAGGTTTTTGTGTTTATTTTCCGTTCTACTTTTCAGAGGACAGGCTTATTTTCCTGGGACGTTTGACATTACAGACATCTTACCTTCTCGATGGCATTAGGATCAGCCCTTTGTGGCCTCTTTGTGGTGACTGTGTCCTTCAGTCAGACAGTGCCTGGTCCTCTCTCTACCAGTTCCTCCTTCATTGTCCTTTACCCATTCTCAACATAGTTCTTTTTGTGTCTCCCTATTTTTTCTATTTATTGATATTTATTTCCTTCTGTATCTTTATGCACTCATACTTATTTGTCTTCATATTTATCAGAGTTACCCAGGGCCAGCGGGGTCTCGGATGAAGCAGAGGAGGTGCCCGGGACACGAGAGGTCCTCAGGGCGAGCTCCTTCTTACACGTGTCCCAGGGTCTCCCTGCCCGACCCCAGACCTGGTCTGCTGCCCCACCTGAATTTTTCAGTTTCAATGTATACAGTCTCTGCTATGTTTCTTTTCTTTATTTTTAAACTAAACTATTTTTTAATTCATTTTTTTAATGTTCAAGTATAGTTGTCTCCATTTTCCTGCCACCACTTGCCCCTGCCCCACCCACCTCACCTCCCTCCCTCAATCCTTCCCCACTTTGGCTTTGTCCATGGGTCCTCTATACATGTTCCTTGATTTGACCCTTCCCTTTCTTTTCCTGTTACCCACCTCCTTCTTCCCCTCTGGTTACTGTCAGGTTTTTTTTTCCTTTCAATGTCACTGGTTATATTTTTCTTGTTTGTTTTGTTCATTAGGTTCCACTCTTAGGTGAGATTATATGGTATTTGTTTTTCATTGCCTGGCCTATTTGGCTTAGCATAATGCTCTCCAGTTGCATCCATGCTGTTGCAAAGGGTAGTAGCTCTTTCTTTCTTTCTTTCTACTGCATAATAATTTCTCCTATCCTATTTCTGTTTCTTAATTATTTTTGTGATCCACGAATGCCTCTTCTATATCAGTTTTGTCTTTCTTTATATTTTCCTCTTCCCTAGCATTCCAATCATCGCCACAGCCTCCCCATGCCTTCACCCACAATAGGGTTCTTCCACCTGCTGATTCCCCTCCACACGCATCAGTCCCAACCACTCAGTCTTACCTGCTCGATAAGACTCTTGGGCACATTGTTCATTTGCTTGTTGGCTTTCTAGTTCATTGTTGCCACTGGTTATACCTGTTTCCTTCTTATTGATCTGTTCTTTTTCACATAGGTACTCTGAGAGTTCATTTTCAGGTATGGCTGTACCTAAACCACATTTTGATTTATAGATATTTTTATGTGCTTCCTGCATCAATCGAGGTCCCACAGGAAAATACAAAGCTTCAGAAGCTTTTAGAGCCCAGGGAATTTAACCCAAGGAATTAGTTATACAGCTGATGGAAGAGCTGAGAAGTCCAAATGGAAGAATGTGGCAACCCAAAGATGGTCAACAAGAAGCTATGGAAGGGACCAAGAGGGAGGTGGTGTGCCAAGGTCGCTGCGTAGGTACAAGCTGGGCCAAGTCTGCTCTACTTGGTGGGAGGAACAGCCATAGGAGATGCAGCTACAGCCAGAACTGCTGCCCAAGTCAGTGAATGGGAAACACCAGGTTTCTCCCTTGTGCCCACTCTCAGTCTCTTGCTAGTGTCTCCCAGGTTAGGAACCCAGCAGGAAGCAGGAGCAAGGGGGCTGGCAAGCAAGCCTGCAGGAGACTGTGGCCAGGGTTAGAGGGCAGAGCAGGGCAACATGAACAAGGAATGAATCCCTGAGTAAACCACCCAGGGTCTGTGCACCCTCTTCCTCATGGTGAACCTCCTCTGCTGATGACTCATTCCATTGACCCCTCCCACTCTGTTCCCACAATCTCAACAGTGTATTAACAGATGAGCATTTTTCAGTACATCTTGGATTTTTTTACTTTTTGCTATTTTTCTAAGCAAAGTAATTTAATTAAAGATGATTTAAATACAAATTCCCACAATTTTAATACAGAACCTGGGAGATGGTGCATGTTTTTTGTCACATCCACAGTTCCTTGGAGCCCCCTCTTGGGGAGTGTCGGGTGTATGAGACATGGCCTTTTCCTCACCTGTGCCTGCCACAGTCAACAGTCCCTTCTGGGTCAGGCTCTTGGACATATTAATTGGTGGTTTGTTTGTATCACTTGAGTTAGAATGTCATTGCCTCTTCCCCCCACAACCCTATACACACACACACACACACACACACACACACACACACTGAATCCCTTCTCTGCTCATTATTTATCAGAATTCCTTTCTCTCACCCTTTTTTGTCCCCACAAGCTGCACTGGTAGATGAACTGCAATAATATAGTTGGATGCATGTTGAGTGTTTTATATTCTTCAACGTTAATATTTAGACTAAGTATGATTTGCTAAAAGTACATTGGTGCTTTCAAAAAATCAGCCTGTAAGGTATTTAGCTTTTATATCAATGTATTACTATTTTAGAACATCCTTTCTTAAATGACACACCCCACAGAAGCTACAGAATTACACCTTCCATGGGCAGGAAGCTCCCTGAGCCTCCTCTATGTCACTCACTTCCAAAGGAGAGTCAGGGAATAAAGACATGAAATTTATTATACACTGATGTGACATAAAGATGGGGCACCTGTGTCCCTCAATTTATTTTCCTGGGCCTGAGGTTGGTATCGCTTTAATCACTGCTCCATAGCCTGGGGGACAACTAAATCCACCATGGACACCTGTGAGGAAAAAATCCCACAGTTCACTGCAGTGGTGAGTAGCTTAGACTCTGGCCCATGTACAAATAATAATTATCTTTAAACATAATTATGTGAAAAAATGCATGGAAGACTGATGAAGACCCAGGCATGACTGTGAATGTGTTACATACATAACTTGTTTAAAATCCATCCATCACCCTGTGAGGTAGGTGCTATCACCACCTCCATTTTACAGATGCTGAAACGGAGGGACAAACAGGGGACATTCCTTCCCCAAGGCTTCAGGGCAGAATTGGGAGCCAGCGGTGGCTCGCCGGACCCCCTGCTCTGACACTGCCCTGCGTCTCAGTGGCTGAACTTGCACAAGGAGCCCAAGTCTCCAAGCTGATCCTTTGTCCTCTGCAAAACCCAGATGACATGCCAGCATTTTAAGCATTTGAGAAGATTAAATAAAACATTGCCTGTATTACTACAAGTGGTAGGGTGACTGGTCAGAAAATTAACTTTTCAGGGTTAATGTCTTAAATTTATCATATTTTAAATATTTTAGTAACTTTCGTAAGGGAAGGTCAAGAGTTGTAAACAGTGGTCATTGGTTGCTAAAGGACCAAGTGTTCGTTCAGAGGCCCTTCTGGTGTTTCTAGAGCAACTCCTGGCCCAGCCGCCCTGAGGATGATGGGAGAAGGTTTGCATGGGAGGCACATGGTCCTGTGTAAAGGATTCAACAGGCGAGGGACTCTCCCTCCAAGGAACACAGTCATCACCGCTGCCCTCTCTCCTGCAGTGCTGGCCACCACTGGATGTGACGCCAAACAGCTAAGGCCATAGACTATTTCAAGAAAGATGGTTCAGATGCCATGAAGCCAGGCACATGGACAATAGGGCCCAGAGATGCAACAGTTGGCAGCAAATCTGTGGAGACACTGTACATGCCAAGATGGACAGTTCTGGACAATCCATACTAAAAAGAAGCAGCCCCCGCACCACAGCCCATGCCAGAATGGGACAAGAACAGCAAAGGATCACAGAACAGCCAAAAGAAACAGACCTTTGTAATTCAAGGTATCTGGATAAAGCCAGGCTGGGTATTTACGTAAGCATTCACCAACTCCTGGGGGAAGAAATCAGAACCTTATTTCAGAAATTGAAGCATGGGCTGTGCCATTCTCCTCCAGTCCCATTTTAATATCAGTATTTATAATGTAGGACTTAATAACCCCTTCCCCCAAGTATCAATACAGAGCTGTACCCCTGGCCTCTGTCAGGCCATCTCACTATGTCATCCCTGAGCCACTTGGTAACTGGTGATGGGTTTTACTGACACCCACAGCCACAGGGACATGTTTTTATCCCCAGTGCTATCCCTGACAGGTGGCCTTACCTGACTTAAGCACCCCCTTTACACACACCCTCTGTCTGCACTTCTATTCACTCAGTTTTGTTGGCCTTTCATTGGGATTCAGTGTCTGATTTTCTCTCATTTCCTCCAACTCTTGGTATTCATCGTCCTGTATCTTTCTCTCTGCATATATTTCCCCATTTTTGTCCTAACATTTTGTCCTTTCTATTAGATTATCTGGGCTTGTACAGGGTTTAGAACATGGGCTCTGGGTTCAAAGTGCCTGTGTGCATCCTGCTCAGTTGACCCCAAGCCAACTACACACATGGTCTCACTAGATTTCAGTCTCATTTTCTGCCAATGGGCAGATAGTGATACCACCCACCAATGGTAGCTGTGAGGACTAATCACAACTGCCAGAGTAAATGTTCACTGAGTGAGTTCTTAACAATATGGTTGTTTTATTGTGTCCTTTGCCCTTATTTCCTGTCTTTTATTTCCCTTCCTTCTCTTCAAAATACAACCATCCCCTCCTCCACATCTTACCACTTCCTCTCTTCTCTCCTTACATGATTGTCTATCTTCTTCAATATTTCTGCTCTTGAAAAACATCCCTGACAATTAATCAGCTCCTTAATCTGTCACCATTAAAGGTCTTCTCTTTGATATTGATCATGGGCCCATAGATGATAACCTTTCACAGCTTCATACTGATCTTCTTATGGTCTTTCTAAATCACAATTACTTCCAGGTCAGCACTGCCTTCAAGTCTAGTTTACTAACACACTGGGTTCCTGACCTTTGTCTTCGTTACTGGGCCAATGGTCTCATGTCAGAACCCCTCCTCAAGGATCAACTTCTGGTCACGCTCTCATATGAACAGCATCCTCAGCAGTTCTCCCGTGATTCCCCAAATCCACTCAAGACTCAGGGCCCACTTCCCTTTCACCTTTCCTCTTAGCAGATGAGAATCAGTTTTTATTTGGTTTCATTCACCTTGTCCAAGTCTTAGTTGGGCATTAGGTTTCTTTGCACTCTCTCCTTCATGACTTACTTGACAAATTGTCTTTTGGATCACTAAAGAGAAAGAGAAAAGAAATTAGAGATCTCTGTCACAGCCTAGGGGCATCATTTCAGATTTGCACATTTAATGATTTCCAGTCAAGATGGAGATGTAGGTACACAGAGCTCACCTCCTCACACAACTACATCAAAATTACAACTAAAATATAGAACAACCATCACTCAGGACAGTCAGAAGATGACTTGAATGAAAGCTCGGCAATGCTGGAATAACAGAAACCTCATCCATCCAGACTGGTAGGAGGTATGGAGATGCAGAGATGTGGAATGGCCTGGTCTCACACCAATGCGCTGTATATGAAAATCTGGGAGGGCTATCTGTGGAACAAGGAATCTCAGCCCCACACCAGGCCCCCAGCCCAGGGTTTCAGAGCCAGGAAGATAGGTCCTCACAAATTCTGGCTGCAAAAACCAGCAGGGTTTAATTTGGTGAAAGAAACTGCTGGATTCTCAAGCAGCTCATCATAATGAATCTGTACATGGACTTAGTCATACTCACTTCCTCTGAGCTCCAACACTGGGTAGCAGCTTGAAAGGCAGTAGTGGCATAAGGGAGGAACCGAAGTGTCTAGCATCAAGCTGAACTGGGAGACCACTTTCCCCCAGACAGAAAGGCAGGCAGAAGTCATTGTTACTTTTCTAAACCCTCTCCCAATGGACCCACAGAGCCAGCAGGTGGGTGCCATATCTGAGACTCCATCAGCCTGGCTAACACTGTTTGCCCAACCTGGTAATATCCTGACACACTGCCCCACCCAACTTATGGGCCCAACAGTTATCAGTGGCTTTTCCATATAAATGGATGGTTTTGGCTTACGCTTCACAACTTCCTAAATTCTCTCAAACAAGCAACAGCTAGCCTCAGCAAACTCCTGGCTCCCATACCTCTTTTTAAGTGGCCCCAGGCCCAGCAGCTGCCAGCCTAGATGCACAGCTTGGCTTCACCTGGGAATCTCCAAGCCCAGCACAAGTAGCAGCCATCTCAGATTGCTTTATAGCTCCTGCACAGTGGCCCTGGGCAAAACATAGGTGGTGGCTGACTTTGGCCTGCATCACCCAGGAAAACCCAGAGCCTATGTACCTAGTGGACAGCCACAGACCACATCGGAGCACCAGCACCCTGCATTTGCACAGCTGATTCTCCACAGAGGGTGGAAGGTGGTGCTTAATGGTCATAGCCAGTCCTCACAGCTGAATAGCCTGGGTAAATCCCTCCCATTGACCTGCCAAGAGCCCCCAAGGCTCAACTACGAGAGGAGGGTGTACTCAGCCCACACAGTCAGTGCACCTGAGTACCCAGCTTGGGTGATAGGGGAGGGTGTGCCACTGGAACCTACAGGACACCTACTACCTTAAGCCATGATACAAAGATAGGGAGTAGTAGCAGTTCTAACTAACACATAAAAACAAACACATGGAGGCTGCCAAAATAAAGAGACAAAAAGAAATGGCCCAAATGAAAGAACAGATCAAAACTCCAGAGAAGAAACCAAAGAAAATGGAGATAAGCAATATATCAGATGCAGAATTCAAAGCATTGGTTATAAGGATGTTCAATGAACTTAGGGAACACCTCAGCAGCATAAACAAGATTGAGTCAAAATTAAAGGATACACTAATTGAAATAAAGAATGATTTACGGGGAAACAACAGTATAGTGGATGAAACTGAGAATCAAGTCAATGATTTGAAACATAAGGAAGCAAAAAACAACCAATCAGAGCAAGAAGAAAAAAAGAATTAAAAAAAAAAAACAAGAATAGTGTAATGAACCTCTGGAACTACTTGAAGTGTTCCAACATTCACGTGATAGGGGTGCCAGAAGGAGAAGAGAAAGAGCAAGAAGTTGGAAATCTATTTGAAAAAACAATGAAAGAAAACTTACCTACTTTGGTGAAGGATATAGACATGCAAGTCCAAAAGGACAAAGAGTCTCAAAATACATGGATGCAAAAAGGCCCACTCCAAGACACATCATAATTAAAATGCCACAGGTTAAAGATAAAGAGAGAATCTTAAAAGCAGCAAGAGAAAAGCAGTTAGTTGCCTACAGGGGAGTTCCCATAAGACTGTCAGCTGATTTCTCAAAAGAAACTTTGCAGGCTAGAAGGGATTGGCAAGAAATATTCAAAGTCATGAAAAGTGGGGACCTACAGCCAAGGTTGCTCCCAGCAAAGCTATCATTTACAGTCTAAGGGCAGATAAAGAGCTTCTCAGACAAGAAAAAACTAAAGGAGTTCATCTTCAGCAGACTGTTACATGAAATGTTAAAGGGGCTTATTTAAGAAAAAGAAGAACAAAACTATGAACAATAAAATGACAATAAATACATATCTATCAACAATTGAATCTAAAACACAAACTTAATAAACAGGAAGAACACAGACAGAATCATGAACACAGAAAGCATTTTGATCATTGCCAGATGGGACCTGGGATTGAGGGAATGGGTGAAGAGGTGAGGGGATTAAGAAGTACAAATTTGTACTCACAGAATAGCCATGGGAATTTAAAGTACAGTATAGGAAATGGTGTAGCCAAAGAGCTTATACACTTGACCCGTGGACATGAACAATGGTGGAGGGACTGTCTGCAGGAGTTGGGATGCTGGGTGGATGGAGGGAAAAGGGGGAAAATTGGGACAACTGTAATAGCATAATCAATACCATATAAATTTTTAAAATTTGCATATTCAGAAATTTTTAGCTCACTCAGAAAGCCATGAATCCCATATCCCTCATGGTCAAGTTTGGCAATATCCCTGGGATGTAAATGAGAACCCTGAACAAAGGAACCTTTGTGATTCCAACACAGAAAGGAGCCACTCGAATGTCAGAATAAAGGAGTCATGGAAACATCACAAGGTTGTTATCTATTAAAAAAATTACAGATGGCTGGGAAAGCATATATCAAACAAAAATGGAAGTGAAATGTGTTTTCTGACTGTTCAAACCATAAGGAAAAAAAAACAGTATTTCCTTGGGAGAAGGACAAAGATCCTATATGTGACTGCATGTATAAAAAAGAAAGCACAAGGACTTTAAATACAAGGTTGGTTAAGAGAAGGTGGAGTTTATTGGGTCAGAAGGATGAGTACTTCCCAAAGAGACACTCGAGGGCACAGGAAGAACTAAGAAGACCTCCAGGGGACTCAGATCCCAGAACAAAGGAAGGACACCCTCTGAGGCTGCCAGCAGGGAGTGAATTTTGTGGCACTGGAGGACGTCCCAAGGAGCCTGGATCAGGGTCAAACAGACGCAAAAAAGGTGAGACCAATGCACCAACCAAGGGCTCCTGCATGTAGGTGACTCAGAAAAGTAACAGGAAGAAAATAAACCAAGGACCTCAGGGTAGGTGTCTGGGGGTTGTCCAGGCAGGAGTTGAGTAGGAAGGAGGGGGGTCACTCTTCTGAGGGCTGATGGCAGGTCAATCTTCTGGAGCAATAAGCCTGTACCCATAAACCTATGAGCCTGTGATATCTCTTTAATGTTCAGAAGATAAACTGCGAATTCCTTAGCTTAGACAGCTAACCTTCCTAAATGTTTTTCAAATGTATCCCTTTTGAATCAGCTTCCACAATCTGCTTCTCAGTCACCAATTGAGAAAAATCTAATTTGTCTTTGTTTTGCAGGTACAAGGGACTCTTTCACACTCTAAACTTTTTCCATAGCATCTACACTCCTCAGTTCATATAATTCTTTATCCTGTGAATTATCTATTGTTATTTGGAGATCTTGGTTGATACCAAATGGTGCTGAAATAACAATTTTCCCAGCAAGTCAAAAGCAAAATTATTGGAGAAACAAAATATAACCAGGGACAGCCATCCAAAAATTACTGGAGGGACAGTTTCAACCACAAATTCAGGCTAAATGAAAAATTATAAATTGTGCATCTCAAGAAAAAGTGGTGAAGCAATCACTTTTGTGTAGTATCAAACACAGTTTCTGGCAGAGCAATTGGTTTGAGATCATTTGATTAAATTTGTCTCACCCCTTGTGGAGAAAGAGCTAATACAACCATGATCCTTGTTTAAGGGCAAGTGTGACCTGGTTAACTTTCTTGCTCATTACTCTGGACCCCTGATGAAGTGGGGGTCTCTCTTTTTTGTGTTACCAGGTCAACACTGGGTTGAGGGCAACAATGACCCATGGCTGGACCCAGGAGGACTCCATGTAAACTACAAGCCACAGCTGGTCTTCCTCCAATGCGGTGATGCTTGTAACTCTGCTGTCCCTCATGGGGGCCCTGAAAGTGATGACTACAGAGTTGTTACAGGAGACACGGACTCCCCTGGGCTGGTGCTGCTGAGCTGGGGGGATCCTGCACCCACAGCTGAGCTGTCACTCGAGGCGGGGAGTGGTCAGCTTGGTGGACTTCTGTGTGTCTGTCTGCAGAAAGAGCAGCAACTCATGGTGCCTTACTGAGATGCAGTGGTCCCTGTCAGCTGTCCTTCCAGGTAAATTGGATGCGACAGGGAATATGTTCTGTGAGTTTAAAAAATGCCAATTTAAGCAGACCTCCAAGTGTGTGTTATACCATAGTCATTGGACCAAACCTTTTGAGAAGTCTCATGATATATCTGTTTTCTTAAATACTATATTGCCACTGACCAGCATTATGTGTGACACATGGCAGACGCTCAGTATATAGTCATCAAAAAAATTGGCCATGGACATTGAAAGGTAAACTATAAACCGAATTACCATCTCTGAAGTCTTTGCAAATTTCATTTAAATCAGGGTAGTTCTTCATGGTGCTCTTGCTGAACAAGGTTTCTAGAAGCGACATGTCAAATTTCTCTTCCAGTTCATTGAGAACATCATACACCACTCTTGGTACAAGCGACAGGTTTTTGTAATGTTTTTTAAACTCCTTAAAAAATAGTGAATAGGGAAAATATGAATACAGAATTACATGTTACATAAGACATCTAGAAAGTGATTTCATTTTTAATGTATTACGATTTCCCTCCGTATTTCCTCATGTTCAGTTTTAGAATTTTTCTATATTTTTATGGCTACTAAGTAAAATAAGTAAACCTTTCCTCCTAAAAATACCCATTTGTGAATCTGATCTCCTCACCCTCATTTACATTAGAATGAAGAAAGAAATTCTGAAGGACAAAAATGGATTCAGTTAAATGGCTTTCATAGCTTGGCCAAATATTTTAACAATTGACTCAGCAGGTGATGGGCTGACGTTCCATTGACTGGACAGCCCTGTCCCTTCCCCAGGACGACTTGGCCTGGAAGGGCTCAGGGAAGCCAGGTGGTCGTTTCCCTTCCTGTGGACTTTGCCATAATGTAAGCCTAGTCATAGGGAAAGAGAAGACTTGCATCTCTGTATCTCCACCTATGTCTTTTGCTAAAATTAACCTAAATTCCAAGATTCCAGAAATACCAAAGGAAATCTTAAAAGTGTTGAAGAGACGGTAACAAGCATCTACGTTCAAATTTGTGCTAATAAGACATTACTTCTCTGTGGATTTTAATGTTCTCAAATCTAAGTATTTAAATTGATATTCACTGAAATGAAATGCTGTGTAAATGATTCCATTAAATATACTAATTAAACTTATTCATCCATTCATTAAAATTATCTCTACTTCCTAGTTTATGCTATATTGCATTTATAACTCCTACAAGGCATATTATACTATACATCTGTGGAACCCGTGGGCTTCAGATCCAGCCTGTCTCCAGGGCTACTCACTTTGACTCTAGGGAGACCACAGAGCACTGTTCCTTCATTCAGAAGGAGGGCTGTCTCCAATGAAGCCTGCTTCTTCTCCCTTTGTACCTTATAGAAACACTTAGAGCAGTACATGAGAAGGTCCCCATTCATAGGAGACTCCTCACTTGCCAAGTTGTGCCCTGACATTTGATTCTAAATTATCAAAACATAACTAATTTGGGGCCGGTTTGCCAGGTTGTGACAAAATTAACTTCCCTTACTTTATACTTTTCATTGGTGATGAATCCACGATCACGAAGAATCTCAAGGAAAGGAAATACTGTTTTTATTGCATCGGAAATCTCGACCTTATGTTCCTTGAAGTGTTGGAATGCAATCTCACACATACGTCTGTAGTCTTCTGCAGACATCCTAGGGAGGAAGGACACCATGGTAAACGGTCATCAAGATTTGAGATGCTTGCGGAGGTTTAACATTTTATACATGAAGGATAGAATGTGAAGAACCAACATGTATAAAGTGAGTGGTCTTGACTAGAGACTGGAATAAATGGAACTGATGCAACCAACAAACATATTATACAAGGAAGCATGGAGGATCAGCAAGACATACATACTATTGAAACTGTCCTGACTGTCCCAGTCAAAGACATGGTAAACACGTCTTCTGCTAAACAAATTTGGAATATTTTTATTAAAAATTCTATTCCACAGAGTATTGGATGTTCTAGCCATAATAATGAGGAAAGACAAAGAAATAAAAGACATGATGGCAAAGAAAGAAGTAAAACTTTTGTTATTGGTAGATGACATGATATTATATTAGAAAACCCTAAAAACACCACTGAAAAACTATTAGAACTAATAAATGATGTCAATAAAGTTGAAGGATATGAAAACAATACACAGAAATATGGTGTATTTCTATAAAAAAATGGTCATAAGAAGAAATTGAGAAAACAACCCCATCTATAATTGCATCAAAAAAATAAAATACCTAGAGATAAGTTTAACCAAAGAAGTGAAATACTTTTATTCTTAAATCTGTAAGACAGGATTAAAGACATTAATGATACAAATAAATGAAAAAAATTGCTCATGAATTGGAAGTATTAATATTGTTAAAATGTCCTTACTACCTAAAGTAATGTAGAGATTCAGTGCAATCCCTATTAAAATACATTCTTCTAAGAATTAGAACTAATCCTAAAATTTATATGGAACCACAAAAGTCCTCAAAAGCCCGAAGAAATCTTGAGAAGAAACAAAGTGAGAAGTATCATAGTCCCTGATATCAAAAGATACTATAACAGTATAATAATCAAAACAGTATAGGATTGGCAAAGACTAGATATATAGATGAATGGGATAGAATAGAGAACCCAGAAATAAATCCTCACCTATATGACCAATTAATCTAAAGCCAAAGTAGACAAAGATATACAATGGGGTAAAGACAGTCTCTTCCCTAATTGGTGTTGGAAAAACTAGGCATACATATATAAAAATTGAAATTTGACCACTTTCTTATACCACATGCAAAAATATACACAGAATAGATTAAAGACTTAACTATTATACTAGAAATCATAAAACTTGTAGAAGAAAATATAGGCAGTAAACCTTTAGACATCACTGTTATCAACATCTTTTTGGATATATCTTTTTGAGCAAAAAAAATAAAAATATGACACTACATCAAACTAAAAAGTTTTTTCACAGTAAAGGAAAGCACTAACAAAATGAAAAGATGACCTACTGAATGAAAGGACATATTTGCAAATGAAATATCTGATAAAGGATTAGTATTTAAAATATATAAATAACTCATACAAATTAACACCTAAGAAACAAGCAATCCAGTTGAAAAATGGGCAAAGAACATGACAAGAGATATTTCTCCAAAAAGGACATGCAGGCGGCCAACAGACATAAAAAGGGGCTCAACATCACTGATCGTAAAAGAAATGTATGTAATTCCAACCACAGTGAGATATCACCTTGTACTTGTTAGAATGTCTATCATCAATAAATCAACATAAATGCAAGTGCTGGCCAGGATGCAGAGAAAAGGGAACACTGCTACTCAGTTAGTTGAACTGTAAATTAGTGCAATGACTATGAAAAGCAATATAGAGACTCCTCAAATAATTAAAAATAGAGCTGCCATAGGATCCAGAAATTCTACTTCTGGTCATTTATCTGAAGAAAACAACACTAACTCAAAAAGATATATGTGACTTCTATGTTCATTGCAGCATTACTAGTAACAGCTGAGATATGGGAAGCAACATAGATGTCCATCAACAGAGAAACAGGTAAAGAAGAGGTGACATATATGCACATAATAATATATATAGACAATGGAGTATTATTAAGCAATAAAAAAGAATGAAATCTTGTCATTTATGAAAACATGGATGGACCTAGAATATATTATACTAAATTAATTAAGTCAGACAGAGAAAAATAAATACCGTGTGATCTCACTTGTATGTTAAACAAAAAAACCTAAATGAATAAACAAAACAAAACAGAATCAAATCCATAGACACAGAGATCAAGCTGATGGTTGTCAAATGGAAGATTGTAGAGAGTCAGGAATTAAAACAAGAAAAATAAACACATTGGTACAAAAGTGAGAAGAAGTAAACAAGTCATCCACAGAGGAATAAAAAACAATGAAATAAAAATATAATTTCACCTTAAAAATTCATCTTAATTAACAACTAAGAGAAAATAAACCTCAGAATGATAAAGTTCACCCTCACTGACCTATAGCAGTTAAGAGAAATACCAACCTGAATTATAAAACTAGTTAATAAATGATAAGATATTGTCTAATAATGACATGATAAGGCATAAACTAAAATTATACAAGAATATCAATCATTTCTTCTGAGATTTGTGCTTTGTGCTGATATATCTCTTTCTTTGCTTTTGTTGTATATAATGAATCTTTTTAGGCATCTGAATTTCAGAAATGGCTACTGTTTCCTGTGAAAATAGCTGTAAAACTGAGTTTGTAATTCTGTTTCTTAGTTGGTTATTTTATTGCCCTGATAATGTTTTCATTAACATCTTGTATTCCTAAACATTATGAAGTCTCATAATCTTCCTTTTGGAAACCAGAAGAGAATTGTTGGCACCACCCCCAGTACCCAACATGCATCAGGGAATAATAATGTCACATTATTGTGTCAAATTCTGTTTTAAAAAAATCTGGTTAAAGACAGCAGATTGAAGAGAAGCATTTGTCTTCTGTTTTATTAAAAATACCACTAAAATGGTAATTAAAATTGTCTTCATAATAACAAAGAGAATGACAAGGGAGTAAGTGAGAAATTTCAGCCAAAATCTACATGACAAAAATAGGTCAGAAGAGCATTAATCACTATTGCAGGTGAAGGGAGCGCCCAGAGGTCAGGGAGCAACCATGTGCTCTGAGGAATCCTGAAGGCAGTGGAGATTGAAAGGGAGACATGATGCTGAAAACTAACATGTTATTTGAAAAATGAACAACAGGACAATGTACCCTTCACCCCACTACTTGCATCCTGACCACCTGGAGCCAAGCAGCCTCTCTGTGGCAGACATTAGTGTCCTTTCTGTCACCGTGTGTTACTGTTGCCTGTTATGGATTTCATACGTGAAATGATACACCATGTGTGCTTTTGTGTCTGACTTCATTTGCTCATCATGCATGCTGTTGGGTGGTTGGAAGTTTCTTCCTGTTACTGTACAGTGGTATTTCATTGTGTCTGTCTACCAAAATCTGCTTTGTCATTTTCCTGCTGATGGACATCTGAGTTGATTCCAGTTAGGGACTGGTATGAAAAAAGCTGCTGTTCATGTATAAATTTTTCTAAAGTATGTTTTTGTTTCTCTTGGATAAACAACTAGCAGTGGAATTGCTGGGTCATGGTGTAGGAGTATGTTTAACTGTTTCCAAACACGCTTAACTGTTTTACAAAGTCTATTAAAAATAGCCTTCCTGCTTTAGTCATTCCACTGTGTTATGTGCTATCTCATATAGTTTTAATTTGTATTTATTTAATGACTAAAGATGTTGGAAACAATTCCGTATGCTTATTGGAAATGTATATACCTTCTTTCATGAAGTTTGTTCAGGTTCATGGCCCTTTTATATTATTGTGTTGTCTTTTACTTATTGATGTGTAAGAGTTTGTTTTATATTATAAATCTAAGCATTTTATTTAAAATATGTGTGGTGAACATTTTTTCCCAATCTGTAGTTTGCCTTTCATTTTTTAATTTTTTTTTATGAGGAGAAATTCAAATGTTGATAAAGTTTTATCTTTCCATATTTTCTTTTGTGGTTAATAATTTTAGTTTACACTCTAAGAAATCTTTGCCTACCCCAATGTTCTGAAAATATTAAAAGCCAGCATGTCTAAATCCAGATTTTCTCTTCTGTACCACTGACCTATTTGTCTCTTCTTATGTCAATAGTACATTGGCTTGATAACTATAGCTTATAGAAGTCTTGTTAACATAGTAACACTCTCCATTTATGAAGTTTTCCTTCATTTTAGTTGGCAGGGTTTATAGCTTTCAGTATAGAAATCAAACATGTCTTTCCTTAAACTTGTCTTTTTGAAACTTCTTTAATTTTTTCCTTTTTTATCCTCAAGGACAAAGGACAAATACCCAAGGACATTTTTTCATTGCTTTTCAGAGAGAGAGGAAGGAGGGAGGGAGAGAGAGACATAGAAATGAGAGATGTCGACGTGAGAGAGACATTGATTGGTCGCCTTTTCATACCCACCCTAATTGGAAGATATAAATATCAAAACTTAGTGTATCTAATCCAATAGATAGAAAAAATAAGCACAAAATGGCAGCCCATGATGGGCCAAACAGCTCAGATTGGAACAGATGATGATTACAGCATATAGATAAGAATAATGAATAACAGCAATGTCATAAAGGATGGGAAGAATAAATTGGGAAGACTCTTTATAAGGTGCCTGTGCTATGGGTGATATGGTATAAAACTCATATTGTAATATCTAAGCAAACACTAAAATTTTTTTAAAGTGAAGTAAAATCGATAAGGTAATAGAAGACAGAAAATGAAATCATGTAATATACTAAAGCCAAACCAGAGAAGACTGGGAAAAAAGGGAGGTGGACAAAGAAAAAATATTGAACAGTTACCAATATGATAATATTAATTCAATTATTAATAATAACATTCATTGTGAATGGTCTTAATACTCCAATTAAAAAACAGATTATGGATGAAAGAAGGTGAAGGGACTATCCATGGAACATACATGCATAATCCATAGGCAGACAACAGTGGGGCAATGGCCGGAAGGAAGAAGCAGGGACTGGGTGGAGGTGGGCAAAGGGGAAGGGAAATAAGGACCTCTACAATAATGTCAG